AATCAAGGTTCTTCTAAGGCACAACAACTGAAACCGGATGTGTTGCATGTGTCGATCTACATGTGGTCAGAGCCCATAACAAATCACATCATGACTGCTCGCTTTGTCTCGTTTATGTTCCTTCTGAGAACAAAATTCCTTTGTGCTGGACCTAGCCGCCTTAAGGTGCGTCCCAGAATCATCTCCAGGAACTCCCACAAAAGGCACAACTCGTCAACGGGGAAAACAGCAACAATATCTGGCAGTTTTCAGAACTTTTTTGGGATACTAGCTTCTGTTAATCAAGGCTTGGCAGCTCAATCGCCATAGTAAGAAGGCAATGCCACACAGCATTGCCTTCCCGGAGAAATGCGAATGGACCAGGAAGCCGAGCTCTGCCCTGCGAGCAACCAGGGAAGCATTTCGTGATGATTCACTTCAAACACATTTGCGGTTGCTTAAAACTCAAAACGAGAACAATGTGGGAACAATAGGCTGCAAAACAACTGCACTTGAGCACACCTTCTAGCTACCGAATTACAATAACTCCCCCTTTTAGCCCTCCACGCAGGGCTTCAACGTACTAAAGCTATTCACAGGTTTATAGCAACAGCTGGGCACAGCAAGGAAGCTCGGACAAATAAAAAAACACATATCCCAGTCACTTCAAGATCACGAGGAACGCCACCGCGCCGCCCCAGGCGTAGAAAACCAGCAGAAACTGGCAGAGGAGGGAACCAGAAGAGCCCAAGACGCGGGTCACCAGCTCGGAATAGGACTCCAAGCAGCCTGTTCAAAAGCGCAAATCGCTGGTCAAGCTTCTGTCGCTTCCACTGGTTCCACTGTCTGTCTAGAAAAACTCGGGAAGAACAAGTGAGCAAAAGAAATCTGAACAAACCAGACCTCTTCAAATGGTTTCCTGATCACCAGGATCGAACCAAGACCCTGGGACAGGCAACACCTGAAACACAAAACCAAGATGTGAACAATCGAAACTCCTGCCAAAACCACCAAGTCAAGATAGAAAGGCATCAAGTTTCATGGAACTGGACCATTAGCCAAACCACCAAAACACCCTCCAACCATCCATCCTTGTGGCGTGAAGTGCAGCTCATAGATAGAAAGCGTCTTCAAGGAGTGCATTGAGAGGAAGGTGAAGAGCAACAGGAAGAAAAGACCTCAATGATGAATCAACCAGCAAATCTCGACTTCGAATATCTAAAGCCCTTGAGAAAAATGATTCCTTTCTTCTAGCAAACAGTATTCTTGTACATTGCCTTACGACCATTGAGACCATTCACAAATGGACATTTCTCAGAACTCTGCTGGACACTTTTGGTGGCTTTCATATTTGCCTAGTTACTAGGTCCCCAACAATTAAAGTTTGAAGAAGGAAAAAAGGAGTTGTCTCAAACAGAACCCTTTTTGGCACAAGTCTTACGACAAGAATCATGGACCATAGTTTTGCAAACTACTCTTTGTGGACAATCCACTTTCACGTACACACCGTACCTAAAGGTACCGGCAAAATCCGGCAAACACCAAAAACTACGCTCGAGGCTTACTTTATTGGGAGATGTTCGATTGTTCTGGGGAGCATATCATTCGTTGATTACTTCAATGCAATTGATAGCTTTACTCGTTGCTTCCAAGATGCCTCGAGGAAGCCCCAACTTGCTAAAAGCATAGGGCAGCGTCAGTTGCCCCGCGCCGAGCACAGACAGCAGGACGTTGAGTATGCATCTTGGCAAATTGGTGCTCCCAACATGCGTATCACCATAACCTCAGACGTCGCGCAATTTTCGAAACTTATTCACCGGCCCCTGGCTTGTCTAAACCCCCATGGTTTTTTAGATCGTGTGACTATCAGCAATGCATCGGGGTTGCCGACTTGCGACGAGCGGTTCAATTTGTCATTCGATTGATGCCCTTTTCATGTGTCTAATCATGCTAGTTTCACTGTTGATGGGAAAACATGGGTTTTCACACCCTTTCCTGGAGAGGCATGATCAAATCAGGGAACTTGCTAGTGCCATTGCTGGAAGGCGAAATACGAGGCCAGAACAGTAGCTCTATTTTTGGCTTGGTGAAGAGGCAAAGGCCGAAATGAACATGACATTAACCGCACCACAAAGAGCAGCAAAACCCTTCCATATCTCCACGAATCCGGAGCACCATTCCAGAAACGGGCTGATTTGTGCCGGGCAACGGCCGATCTGCCCAAGGTTCACAGAATGCTCAGCAGACTCGCTGTGCTTTCGACGGGCTGTGCCATCAGGTGCCTTCAGCAAAGCCTCGCTGACTGTCATGGCAGACGCGTCGGTGTGTCGGCGCGCAAGTCTCTCCTTGAGCCCAGCTCTTGGTGCCAGGTTTCAGGGCCTTGAGGCGTGGTATCGACATGACAGACTCGAGGTGTCTGAGGAAATTAGAAGAGCCCCATGTCCCTCCCAAATGGACCGTGGAGCACCGGATTTTGAGTAGACCTCACATTTCTACAAATTTACTAATTTCTTAGGCTTATGCTTAAGGTGAATGAGCGCAACTTCCATTTTCTTGCAATTTGAGTCCTTCGAAATTCCGGAGCAACCCGGGCCGTTTCTGGAAGGGGGGCAAAGACCGTGGTCATGTTTTTGTTTGTGTACTATGCCGAAGGACAAATGTGCTCAAACAGCGCACTTCTTGAAGGAACCACCATCTAAAAAAAGACCCCCCAGGCGGCTGCGGGTATTCCCTCCATAAAACAAGCCAGTGCAGGTCCCAGGGCTTTAGTTAACACAAATTCCGCTAAAAATGTGCGAAATGCGGCACCCCTTTTTGGATGGTCTTAAACTTAGAAGGGAACCAGACGAAGACCACCTGGGGGAATCGGTCCTCAATTTTGAGAACAACCAAATGGGGAGTATGCAGGTTGCTGTTGTGACGGAAAGCGCTGGACATCAAGAATCACCAGCCAAGCGGCCGGAAGTTCGGACATTTCGACGCCCGCCCTCGGGTCAGGTAGCGGCCCTCCTCGCTGAGGCTGGACAGCCTTCACACTGCCTGCGAAGCATCTGGCGGACACTTCAGGGTTCACTGGATGCAGCACACCAAAGAGCACCTTGACCAGCGCCCTGCCTGCGTTGCCAAACAAGCACCGCCAGCCACTGCCACTGCATCTTGACCAGCACCCCCACCAGCACCTTGACTGCAGCACCGCCAACAGCACCCTGACTGCATCGCAAAACACCTTGAGCGCACCTCAAACAGCACCCTCGTCAGCACCTGCAGCACCAACCTGGCCCGAACTCGCAGAACAGCCTGCTCCTCTTCAGAAGTAAGAACCCCTGATAGCTTTCAGCTATCTGCGGAAAAACACAAACATAAATATGCACTTCGAGAAACACAAAGGCATAGAAACAACAACCCCATCAAAAACAAAAACCACGAATCTGCATGAGTGTGTGTGTGTGTTCTTTTGACGGCACCCTTTCCGAGGTTGTTTTCAAGGCCGAGGGAAACGGCCGATTCGCGATCTGCATCGGACGAGCTCTGCCTTGCCTCCCGCAACCTCAAGAGCTTCATGACCAGGTGCCCGTACCCACCTGGGAAATGGACTTCGGGCTATGGGGGGGCGGGTGTGTCTTGGATAAGCCCAGCCATGAAAGACCATTCCCAACACCCGCTGAATTGTAGCCAACAACTACGTCCACTGGTCCAAACTCCTTGGGTATATAGACACATGTGGATCACACCGCTCGGGACATCAAAGAGGACAAGGTCCCAACAGCAAGACTTCAAAGCTCACGCCAATGGAATTAGAGTGGCTCCGTGAGCGGGCCTCGTATCCGGCAAACTCCTCCCGCCGCATGCACAAGACGCCCTTCGGGTAAAAGCAAAGCTCCGGCTTTGCTCCGAGGGATTCTGCGAGATCTGGTGCTGCTTCCTATCGCACATGGGAGATGAAACTGGTGGTCCTGAAGTGAAGGAATCAGATATACACTCGAGGCCTTTTTTTCGATACTTTGTTCGATGGGGTGTCAAATGGACAACCCTGAAACCTTCTGCCAGATCCAGCCAGGCCGCAAGCAAAGGGATGAATCACCTACAATATGCCGGAGTCATCGTTCTGACCGACTGCAACCTGAGACTAGGTTTGAGCAGTGCCGGCTGCGTAGTACTTGCATCAAGCCGCCTTGCCCGGTGCGGAAATCACACTTTCTGCGATACCAAAGTGTGCAATCCTATGACAAATCAATTGAAAGGAGGCTGCTTTGCATCACACAAAGCTAGAATCACACACTGGCCTCAAATCTTGCTGGTGAGAGTCTGAGAGCGCTCACCGGCGGTTTTCCGGGCTCATCCATTTTGGCAGCACCAGCCCAAAATGGTGGCTTTGCTTTAAGATTACAAAAAAGCAAGACAAAGCCATGTGGTAGAATTGCTTTGAATGGTCTAGATTCATTGCTCCATAGGCACAAACTCCCTCCAAGTTCACCTCAACCCGTGGCAAGCCACCAAAGCCAACTTCATGGCCCTTTGGCGAACTGTTTCAAGAACATTCATTGTGTGACCGTTTAGATAAATCGATTCCCTGGTAAGAGGGGCATAAGACCTATCTAAACCAGTGGAGCCCATCTATTTTCTTTTTCCAAACCAACAAAAGGCCACCTTTGTTCATCGTCGGGTGACCCATACTCACAGAATGTCGAACCTAAGCCCTTATGTATACCGGATCGAGGTGTGAACGCACTTCTGAAAAATTAGAGGATTTGCAAAGGCCAAGTTCAAATCCGACGGCTAGTCTTCAAAGAAACAACCTGCGTGTTCTTCTTGACTCGATTGGGGGCGACGACATGTCTTGCTTCAACATGCCCCGGTTTGGGCTGCGTTTAAAGAGCAAGCACAAGGCAAGCGGAAGCCAACCATCTTTCATGTTAAGACACACACGAGGGAGTTCATGGTTCAAGGTTTCCTATTTTAAGACACAGCCCTTCAGCTGCAAGCCGCGCCCAAAGCACCAAGGTTCAACTCTCACGTAGCGCCTCCCGCGCGTCTGGGAAGACCATGAGCCGCAAGTTGGGCCTGCTGAAGGATTTGCGTTTGAGTGGGTGCGGATCAAGAAACCAAGGAAAATAACGAGCAACCAGGCAGCCAAGCAAGGAACCGAAGAACAAAGAAAGCCTGGAACCAAGCAAGCACGAACACAAGGAAGCAACCAAGCCACCAAGGAACCGAGGAACCAAGCAACCAACCAGCTACAAGCTTCGCGAAGAACAAACAAGCCCTGCGAGCAAACAAACACATTATATATCATATATCCTTTTCTTAAGGGGCCACTAGCCAATGACACATGCATTTACCACTTTCCAGACGGGGAAAGCTCAAACATCACGAATTCTGACAATGAACGACTTCCTCTGTTTATTGCAACGCCCCCTTGCCGAATATCCAAGCCGTTAATTGGACGATTGGGGTGAGCAAACTTCTAGATCCCTCTTTATCAAGGCCCATGTGGAGAAAGAGCTACAAAACCCTACAACAAGCAGCAGGCTTGGGAACTGACTCACCACCCAATTTCCAAAGCAAGGAATTGCCTTTTCTTGGCAAACTTTGCTCAAAGGAACCCTACAGAAAAAGAAAACCATGCGCCAGTGACCAAAAATAGACACTTCGGAACTAGCTCAAGGACTTGGTTTTGGTGGGTGGTTCATTCATTTCTCAAAGCATTTCTTGTATTTCTGTAAACACATTTAGTCTCCCGTCCGTCTGCATTGGGATCAGACGTCCATTCGCCAGTTGGAGCACCGAGGATGGGTCAAAAGCCGAGCTGTTTCCACCCTACGCATGGGGCCCTCCAGGACCTTCATTGGCAGGTTTTGGACCTCAAAAAAAGGCGTTTTTGAGGCCCAAAATATGCTTTGGGCAGAGGAACAAATCGAAGGGGCCTGCACGAAAGGGTCCTCCTTTTGCTGAATTCCCTGCGGGACAAGCAAGTTGCGCCAAAAGAGAAGAGAGGTCACTACCGACTGGGGGAAACAAGCGACTAGCATGCTCTGCAACTTGGCATGGAACTTCAAGATGGGCTTGCTCTAAACCCTCGCGCTGCAGCTACGTCAGCTATGCAGGTATTCAATAATTCGACCAGTTCTCAAATCTCCCCTACGTGTGCCTGGAAACCTGAAGGCTTGAACTTAAACTCCATCCATGCCATCCAACCCTATCAGCTTCACTTCCATGCTCCGATAATTCACGTGTCCACACCATTTTCCACAGGCACTCTGGTGTGGTTCCGGTTTTTTGGCTTGGCGCCATGCTTTTTTCTTTAAACAAAACAACAACAAAAACAGACAACCCATGTGTTGCGTTGTTTTTTTTCGGGGGAAACCGCCAAACCCGAGGATTTTTGGGGCCGCCGATTCCTTCGAGCTTAAAAGCGATCATCCATCGGCTTGGTCCGGAGTCGGGTGTCTTGGTACCCGGCAGACCACGTGCGGCGAAGGGGGGCGACACCAAAGGTCGGCCCATCGAGGCCTGGTTGCTCCGGTTTGCTTTGTCCATTCACACGCATCGGTGGAAACCAAGAGGAAAACCAAAGCCATTTTGGGGGGTGCCCGAATCACTCCCAGTAATTCCCATTTGCCTGTGAAAGCAAAGGAACCCGTTCAAACCAACAGGACATGGTTTACCTATTTTGGTGATAACTGGGATCCACTGGGAACACATGGGACAGTTAGATGGGTCTGTCTGTTTTGAGGGTGCCCCTTTTGGGAGGGTTTAAAGGGAAACAAACAGGAAACCAAATACATTATTTCATGTGTTTCTTCTTTTCTCTTCTTTTTTGTTGGGGGGGGCGGTCCGATTCCTACTTCGAGACAAACCTATTGAATTAAACCCTGGTCTCCGATAAAGAGAAACCTACATATTGTTTAGGCGCATTGCGGTTAATTAACCAAACTCAGCTGGCGCAAAGGAAGTCGCCTGGGTATTCACCAGGGATGCCTGTCAAAACCAGAGATTCCTGGGGCGAACTGGCCTGATACTTACGGAAAGCTAAGGTTTGTGATCCGTTTGGCGATCCCCGGGGTAACAACAGATCACCAATCCCTGCTCATTTGCAATCCGAATCCCGAAAAAACAGCAGGGATCCTGTGGTTCCAGAGGCAGTCTCGGTGCTGAACCAATTCGTCATTTTGGGGACGTGGCACGCCGCATTTTGGACAAGTGAAGACTTGTCTGGACTTTCTAGCGAGACGTAGGAACGGGCCTTTCATAGGATCCCAACCCCAAAAACCCTTCCATCACCCTGCATCTAAATAACAATTTTCTTCATGAGGTTCCTATGGGGGGGGGAAGCAAGAGCATCGGGATCCCGTGATCTATGGGCGGAGGGAAGGCGCTATCCCCTTCGACGGGGGCCGCGAAGGACGCGCCTGGAGCTTCTCTCTGACGTCCTCGATGCGCCACTCCGCGCGTGTGCAGGTCATACCCCAGACCTGGGCGAAATTGCGAGGCCATGCGACTGGGCGTCTAGGAGACTTTCCAAGGTTTCTCCTCCCAAACTCAGGGGATCCGAACCTGAGTTGAAGCAACCTCTCATGTTGGATCCTGATTTGTTTCTCAAAGGGAACCACAGGGCAACCACCAAATTTGGGCTCCCCAGTTTGGTTCCCCAGCTGATTTTGAGGGTCCCAAAGACTCTTGGGGTGTCGTAGCCAGGATCCTGCGGGGCACCTATGTTCCCTCTTTCCATTCTCTGATTGAACATTACGGAAAATCAAGGACGAACAAACCAAGGGACAAACAAACCAAGTGAGCCCTTGCTCAATCAGGTAGAACCAGCAACTAAACTGTGTGTGAGTGTCATTTTTTCGGTTGGACCCCCCCCAACTAAAAAGTGTTTTTTCCCTTGGTTTCCCTTGAACACCAGCCCCAAACAGAGATTTCCCGAGCCTCGAAACAACACATCTGACAGGCCTCCGGGCGTCCACTTGGCCCACGGTGATCCCGGGGCACACCTCCACAGGCGGGGCCAAAGTGATGGCCTTGGGCTGCCACAGCGCCGCCAGCGCAGACACCTGCAGGCGAGGTGGATTCAGCGGGGTGGGGAGGGGGGGCGGTATGGTGGACGCTCAGGGTCTATTTTGCAACCTCCTTGATTTAGGGTATTGTTTTTTTTGGGTATATTTCCAACATAGACTCTAGGTGTCCATGGCACGCGGGGGGGGGATAGTGTATCTCACTTCGGGACACAACACTGACAAGTTGACAGCTCATTTTCCCTCAACTGAAGCCCGCCTGCACAGTTCCCGGCGCCTGTCAGTGAGACAGTGGGCATTTCTCCAAAGGGTTGCCATCGCCGGGGAGTTCTTAGCTTCAAGTCTTGGGGTAACGACCCCCCCACACGTGAAATCAAAACAAAACCCCGTGACCCCGCAGGCGTCATTTCAAAGAAAAAACGGGAGGTGTGTTTTACTCTTTGGCATCACCAGTCGCTCACTCACTTACTCGCTCGCTTCGTCTGTGGACAAAAACACCAACATGAGAAGACAAAATGAGGAACTTCAAAATACACACGGCTGGTGTGAATTCAAGAAACACACCAGTTTCCTTGGGGTATGAGCAGTTCCCATTCAAAGGACACACAGACTCTGTGGCTGACCTCCAGAGTCTTCGAATGGACATGGAGAGACAAACGCCATTGCTTGTTTAATACTGGTAGATCCCTTGCTTAAAGCTAAACAAGCTAAACATGAATCTCTCTCCAAACATCTAAAAGTCCAGGGATCTGGCCTGGAACCACCAAGTTAGTGAAAGGAAGGGATGGAATCCACTGAGGGTCGGAGACCTATCCGCCCGCTCTGGCGCCGAAACACTTCGACAACACCTCACCGACAGATCCGCATTTCGGTGGGCCTGAAAGCGGGGCTCGAGCCCCAAGTACGTTTATCTATGTTCCCCCTTACCAGCCGCACAAGGGCCCAAAACGTGTAGTGAATCTTTACATCTTCCAAGAAGGGGGACCACGTCCAGTACGGGTCCGTTGAAAAGGGGTTGCAGTCAGCAGTCCATCCACCGCGCACCAGGTTTGGGACCATCCCAAACAAGCCTGAGCTTGTACAAGGGGCTCCTGACAGACCTCAAATCGTGGCCTCACAATACCAAAAGCGGGCAATGTTGACGCAAAACTGGTGACTCCATTGAGGCCTCCCATTTCTCCCACCTTAATCTACCTTGGCTGATGCCCCCAACCTGAGCGTCCAGATTTAATGAATCTTGACAAGTCAAACAAGTACCCAGCCCCCCAACAACAAAAACACAGAATGGTTGGCTTCCTTTTGGTTTCCCTTGACACCAACCCAACAAGGCTACCCTCAAAATAACACACTCAGGGGCCGTCCTCGGTTACATCCATTTGCCACGCGATCTTTCACCAAGGCCTTCGGCGGCGCCAGGCCCGGCGGACTCTTTGCGCGCGCCTAGCTGCAACCAAGGCCAACAGTCTCTGTGCGAGAGGCCTACAGGTCTGCTTGTTTGCGAGAAAGCCAACAGAGCAGAAGCTAACAATAGAATGCTAACCACCAAGTCAGTCTCTGTCAATCTTCTTTTTTTTCTCTCTGTCCCTCTCTCTCTCTCTCCTGTTGTCAAAACTGGCGAGTGGAGAGTGGCAAACAAATGTCGCGCAAGACCTTGCCTGCAGGCCTGGCTGCGGCGCCTTCGCGAATGGGAGGCCATTCGAAGGAAGTCGCCTTTGGGGCTGTTTTTGGGCGTCTTTGATGGCATCACGCTTGGGTTTGCTGAAAGGAAAACGCAAAGGAAAAGCACCATATATCTTGGGGTCCGGTTGTTTTGGGATTTTGGCAACGGACCGCAGACTGGATTTGTCTTTGTTGGACGGCCCCTTTCTGTTCGTGCAAAAGCCAAGCACACTTTTTGAGGCTCCCCAGGTTTAGAAGCACCCATGTCCCTTTCTGGTCAGAAGGTCCGACTTTAAGTTCAACCAAAAAGGGTGCAGTAAGGTAAACCCAGCAATCCATTCATTTTGGTTGGACCCGCTCTATCGCTCGCCAACTCTTGACATGTTCTTTGCAGCTCCCCGCTTGAAGTCAATGACATGATCAGAACCTATCGGCAACACGAGTGTACTTCTGGGTCTGACCCGGTCTGACCCCAATGTACCCGACTGCTAAGTGGCGTCCAAAGAACCGGGGCAACAGAAATCACCTGGCTCTTGAATCACGAATCAGGTTGATCCAATCCAGCTGGAAGAAGTCAACGTGGGAATGGTGCTGTTTTTTGAAACCAACTGGCCACTTGACAAAACTTCAAGAAAACCAGAAATTGTGTGCATGAAATACACTCCTACAGTAAATGACTCGATCTTTCTATATATATACATATATATATATATGTATATACTTATATTTGAAGCCAACTCGCATCCCGTTCTTTCTTCGAACATCCCGAAGATGGAGGGATACTGAGCTTGCATGATCGGATCGCTGACTCCTCACTTCCGATCGAGTGGACTGGCTAAGAAAAGTAACCGCACCATTTGTGTTTTTTTCCTCACAAGGGAAAAGGGGATGTAGTTGAGGAATCCATGGCGCTGCTGTGTCAGCAGCACACTTCAAGGTAAGGCAAACCCACATGTGTGGAACAGGCATCCGGCGAGACGGTGTTGTCGAACATACCCCAAAGGAGGATCCGCAGAGCGGCATTTTGCACGGTCGGCACTTTGCCGTCGGGGTAGGTCGGGCCAGCGAAGCAAAAGAAGTCACAATGGAAAGAAGACACGATTTCCCCCTTTTGCGTTCTCCTCTGTCCCTATCTGAGCCCAATGAACCCAGGGTATGAGCTGATTGCCTTCATTCTGGCTGAGTCAAGGCAGCCAGCCATCAAAAGGGGGCCAAAAATAAGAAGCGAGGGATCAACTTTGGGTGGGATACTTTTTGAGGATACCCTTTTCACCTTGGTTTGAAGGGAAACCACAAGAACAACCACCAGTTTTGGGGAGTTCCCCTATTTGGACGCATACCCATTGTGTGCCATACAATCATCCTACGTGGACCCCTTGTGCCCAACTTCATCGAGCCGAAGTCTTCAGGCAGGGACATCTCGACATAAAAGTTGGCAAGCCCTTCACCAGGGCATGGCTTAAACGGGAAACCGTTTTCAAGAAAGAATGGACAGCCATTTGCGCAAAATGCCAACCTTCTTCAGGGAGACCATATGGACATATATGGACCATGTGGACCAAGACCGGAAAATAGGTTTGACGCATTTCTCTAGGGTCTTCCCCATTCGTTCCAGGGATCCGTCATCCAACAAAAGCCAAAAGCTCCCGGAAAATGGAAACAACCGGTTCTTCGCAGGCCATTCCAGGCCGGCGCCTGCACGCCGAACTGCGCTTGCAAGGTCGGGTGTTGCACCTGAGCGGCGCAAGCGCCCTGCCAGTTTGCGCGGCACACACCTGGTGACCAGGGAACCTTTTCAGGTTCGATTTTTCGGGGAGCCCAACAAGGACAACGACGCCCTCCAAGTCAGCATCTTGTCTGGTGGGGAGGTGTGCGCCTCTGTGACGAGGCCTTGCGGGTCCAAGGGCTCGCGTCCCTTCGATGAGCTCAGGGAAAAATCAGGTGCCTGCGTTTTTAATGAGGGAAAAAAACCTTGTCAGGTTGTTTAAGGAAAACAAAAAGAAACGCCAGCAGTTTGGGTGGGTCCCTCCAATTCTCCATAGATTGGTTGGCATGGCCCTTCGATCTTAGCCCTCACAACAGTGCTCTAAGTTCCCTTTTGGGGGACCCCGCGCAACCCCATTTTGTGGCGTGTTGATGGCATAGGAGAGAACTACAACCCTTCCCGAATGCGGGGCGGAATCCGGAGTTTCCATCCTTGTTTTTTCAATCGGAATCCCCAATCCCATTCTCTCTATCTGGGTGTGTCCAAATAAGGGTGGGGGTCCCTCAAATATGAGGGAGCAAATCCTCCCCAGTAGACACCCAGGGCACGTGGCTGCACTAATTATCATAATCCACCAGATTGGTGAGCTCGCAATATTCCAGTTACCCCGCCATAGTTCGTGGATAACCCTTTTGTATTTTTACTGATGATTTCTGCTGGATACATGCAATGTCAGGTAGCCCTTACTTGGTTGATGAGTTGCCAAGCCACCAATCCAAATCACCAATTCAAGGGAAGCTGCGAATGGGAACTGCATGTAACTGCAAGCGAAGGTTTCGGACAAGGCTAACTCGCTCTGACACGCGCGTCCCACCTGGTTGGGCGGCAACGGGTGCCGCATGCGTGGCCGCACCTTTGATTCCAGCGGATTCACAAGATTCTCGGTGCCCCAAAAAGGGTTCTATTCATCTCCCAATGGGGTACCCTCAAAAAGTCGAAAGGGAACCATCGAAAAACACATCAGACGTGTCAACATGCTCAAAACGCTTTGTGTATGTTTGTGGCATGTGGTGTATTTGATGCGTCCCACGGATTTGTGGGGGTGTTGGTTTTGTGCCCCCTAAATCAAATACCCGCTTTTTGGGGGTCTATTTGGACAAACCCGTCTCTTCATGGTAAATACCTCCTCTTTTGGTTTCTTAGTCAGGGATTGGCATCTTACCCCCCCCCCCAAAAAAAAAATAATATAATAATATAAGAGAGGATATATTGTAGTTGCTGGATACCGTTTCGGGTTCCCGCACTGTTCCGCTGGTCAAACAGCAACTGAGCCGTATGTCCAAGGCTTTGGCCCAGAGGTGTCTATAGTATCCAGTGATTCTCTTCCAGGTATAGGCAACCAATGGAACCACCCTTTAAAGACCGAAAGGACAATAACTGGGATCCACAGAAGTAGGTAATAAGCTATGTTTCTTTTGGTGAAAGGGTGGGACAGCCCTGGCTTACAGGGAAATGGAATCACCGGGCAAGCATCTGGACCATCGCCGCCTAAAGGCGGAAATGAGAAAAGCCAAGGCCAAAATCCGGGTACTTCACTTTGTGCTTATGCAAGTACATGTCTACGAGGTCCCTGTATGTCACTCAAGAGAGGGTTTGGGTACAGTGTCAACCCCTCACCAAAAAGGAGTTATTTACCATCCAAAAACCGGGGTGTTCCAAAATAGCGGGTGCTGATGAGTTGTGTATTCTTCCTCCCATGATCTTCTCTAGAAGAGATAATTCTTGGAGGGCCCATCTCAAGTTACCTTCAACCTTCGTTCTCACCTGTTATCTTCTCGGCAAGAAGTAAATTATCTTCAAACCTTCATTGTCGTTTCTTACCTCCTGTGCAAGAGGTAATTCTTGGAGCCATCTCAAGTTATCTTCACACCTTCACTCTCAGCTCTTTTCTCTGGAAGAGACAATTCTCGCCAACCCCTCAAGAGTTGAGAGCTTCACTCGCCTTCACTCTCAGCTTCCAGGCGGCTTCCGGCCGCGCCCGCGCCGCGGGCACCTGGGAACTCAGCGCACGAGGGGGGGGGGGGCTTGGTTAGACACTTAGGGACGGTGGTTGCGACCTTCCTTGGGGGTACTGGTTTCTAGGGATGGCGGCAAATGTACTCGAATTGTTGGAGGGGGGGGTGACGGTCGAACTTCGGACGACTTGGGATTTCAGCGGAAAACTCCACGCACGAGGGGGGGGGGGGGGGGCTGTACGAGGGAACTTTATGTATAATGTGAACGGGCCATTCGCCTTTTGATAACCAAGTCTTAGTTAAGATAATTTTTAGAATTCTAGATGGTCCCAGCCCAGGAGGGGCCAGCCAGGACCTTTGATTTTTAGATTTTTTAGAATTTTTTGAACTTTTAGAATTTTTTGAATTGAGTTCTAAAAAATCTAAAATTCGGACCCCCAAAATTTAGAATTTTTAGAAAATCGGACCCCCGAAATCTAGAATTTTTAGAATTTTTAGAATTCTAGAGGTCCCAGCCGAGGAGGGGCCCAGCCAGGACCCTTGATTTTTAGATTTTTTAGATTTTTTAAAACTTTTAGAATTTTTAGAATTGAGTTCTAAAAAATCTAAAAATCGGACCCCCGAAATTTATATTTTTTAGAATTTTTAGAACTCAATTCTAGAAATTCTAAAAATCGGACCCCCGAAATTTAGAATGTTTAGATTTATTGAATTCTAGATGGTCCCAGCCCAGGAGGGGCCCAGCCAGGACCTTTGATTTTTAGAATTTTAAGAACTTTTAGAATTTTTTGAATTGAGTTCAAAAAAATCTAAAATTCGGACCCCCAAAATTTAGAATTTTTAGAAAATCGGACCCCCGAAATCTAGAATTTTTAGAATTTTTAGAATTCTAGAGGCCCCAGCCGAGGAGGGGCCCAGCCAGGACCCTTGATTTTTAGATTTTTTAGATTTTTTAAAACTTTTAGAATTTTTAGAATTGAGTTCTTATATTTTTTTAGAATTTTTAGAACTCAATTCTAAAAATTCTAAAAATCGGACCCCCGAAATTTAGAATGTTTAGATTTTTTGAATTCTAGATGGTCCCAGCCCAGGAGGGGCCCAGCCAGGACCTTTGATTTTTAGAATTTTTAGAACTCTTAGATTTTTTAGAATTGAGTTCTAAAAATTATTCCAAAAATTCTAAAACTCGGACCCCCAAAATTTAGAACTTTTAGAATTTTTAGAACTCAATTCTAAAAATTCTAAAAGTTCTAAACATTCGAAAAATTCTAAAAATCAAAGGTCCTGGCTGGGCCCCTCCTGGGCTGGGACCATCTAGAATTCTAAAAATTCTAAAAATTCCAATTTTCGGGGGTCCGATTTTTAGAACTTTTAGAATTTTTAGAACTCAATTCTAAAAATTCTAAAAGTTCTAAAAAATCTAAACGATCTAAAACAAATCTAAAAATCAAGCGTCCTGGCTGGGCCCCTCCTGGGCTGGGACCATCTAGAAATTTAATAATTCTAAAATTCCAATTTTCGGGGGTCCGATTTTTAGAACTTTTAATTTTTTTAGAATTGAGTTCTGAAAATTCTAAAAATTCTAAACTTCGGGGCCCGATTTTGAGAATTTTTTGAATTGAATTCTAAATATTCTCGAAATTCTGAATATGTGGGGTACGAATTTTAGAACTTTGGGATTTTTTTTAGAACTCATTTAAAAAGCTTCTAAAAGGTCTAAAAATTTGAAAAAAAAGAAAACTAAAAATCAAGGGGCCCCTCCTGGGCTGAGACCATCTAGAATTCTAAAAAATCTAACATAGAGTATTTTTTGAGAGTTCAATTCTATAGTTTCAACATCAAAAAACATTGAGCATCCTGCACGCCCCTGGGCTAGGACGCGAAAGGCATGTCGCCCCCTTTGTTCGCGAGTAAGCAGAGAGGTTGGAAAGAGTGAGGAAGGGATGGGAAGGTGGAGGACATGCCTCTCAGTAGCGTAAAAGGGGTAGGAAGAGAAATGAAAGATGCTTCTCTTTTTAGCTGTTGGATGGGGTGAAGGCAATTCACCCTTTCATGCTACTCCTTTCTCTTTTCCACGCCTTTACCCACAACCGCAAGTAGCTGTGTGTTGGATAAAGGCTTGGGAGACGAAGGATAGAGAGTGAGGGATAGAGATGAATGCTGGGCCAGCCCTCACAAGGCTTCTCTCTTCGTTCGTCCATCATTATCTCTTCATCCACATCCTTTATCTCTCCTTAAAGGCCGGCAGACCACGCCTTTACCCACAACCGCAAGTAGCTGTGTGTTGGATAAAGGCTTGGGAGACGAAGGATAGAGAGTGAGAGATAGAGATGAATGCTGGGCCAGCCCTCACAAGGCTTCTCTCTTCGTTCGTCCATCATTATCTCTTCATCCACATCCTTTATCTCTCCTTAAAGACCGGGAGAGAAGATAGGAAAAGGACAGGCAATGGAGCTTCAGCTCGTCTCATGCCTTCGCCAGCTCTAGAGCCAACATAAGAGAGGGAGAAGGGGTGACATCTCTTTCCATCAGTATCCTATCTGTTAGAGCTGTGGGGCCAACGGAGAGAGCAAGAGAAAGAGGGTCAACAGGTAAAGATGATTGGGGAAGAGATAAAGAGTGAACGGAAAAGCTGGGACAATAAGGACATTCCAGCTCGTCTAGCTTTCATCTACTTCCCTTCTCTTGACCTCCCTCGTTTCTGGGCAAGAGGTTGGGAAAGAGAAGCTGAATAGAGGTGAAGAAAGAGGAATTCATTTGTAACTGCTGGAAAGAACTGGCCAGCGGATGGGATTTCCTCTGGCCACCTCTCACCTAATCACTTTACCTCTCTCGTCATCAATTTCCTTTCTCCTTTCCATTCTCACCGTTGCAACGGCTAGGAAAGAAGAAGGGGTGAAGAGATAGGAGAGAGAACTAGAATGAAGAACCCAGATGACATGAAAGACGTTCTGGATTCTGTGACATGGTTAAGGGGAAGGAGATGTTGGTGATAGAGAAGGAGAAGGAGTTGCATTCCTTTCTCTTGCATACAATCCCCGCCACTCCAGAATTAAGAGATGGCAAGGGAAGGCGTGTGAGAGGGAGATGACCAGCTCCTCCATCATTATCCTACCTGTTAGAGCTGGAGCTGGGCAATGTCTCTTTCCACTACTTGTTGTGAACTCTAGGGGTCGCATGCCAGGTAAACGACCGGAGAGAGCGAGAGAGAGAGAGAGAGATGGAGGGCGGTCATATGATGGCTAATGAAAGAGAAGGCGCCATCATCACTCTCACTTTTTACCTCTCATTACCTACCTCCCATCATCTCTAGCTTCTAAATCTTGGATGTGGATGAGGGAGGAGATAGGATGAGAGGGAAAACGTGACAAGGTGAGCCCACCCACTCTCTCCTTCACCCACCTTTTTAATCTCCTTTTCTCTCGCTTGCAGGTGATGATGAGTGAAGAAGCGAGCGAAGAGTCAGGGCAAGAAAGGAAGAGACAGGGAAAGAGATGTTACTATCATAAAAATGTTTCCATACTCTAAGAGTACAAATCAGAGACGCTTTATCATTTGAGATGCTTTCCATCTCTTGCAATCGCTTTCTCCATTCTATTTCCCTCTCATGTCACTCCCAAAGCTATTAAAAGAGAACGGGAATGACAGGTAAAGATGATTGGAATTGGACAATAAGGACATTCCAGCTTGTCTAGCTTTCATTCACTTCCCTTCTCTTGACCTCCCTCGTTTCCAAAAGAAACTTATAACTGTGCAAGAGGTTGGGAAAGAGAAGCTGAAAAGAGGTGAAGAAAGAGGAGTTCATTTGTAACTGCTGGAAAGAATTTCTTTTCTCCTTTCCATTCTCACCGTTGAAACGGCTAGGAAAGAGATAGGAAAGAGAATTAGAATGAAGAACCCAGATGACTAAGGAAACAAGATGGTTGGATGGCCATCCATCTCCTTGCCCACTCTCTCATCTCTTTCCCCGCCCCCACCTCCATCTCAGCTTCAAGGAAGCTGTAGGTGGTGAGGAATAGAAATGAAGGGGAGAAAGGGTGGTGGTAAGGTGGTAAGATAGAGGCTTGAATCATGAGGCCAGACAGCCATCCTCCCCTCTCGCCATTTTTCTTGGCATATCTTCACTTTCCAAGAATATATTTTCCCATTCTCATCCATCTCCCAGCCAATGAAAATGAGGTGAGGGGATGGGGCCGTGAGATGGCCAATCAATAAGTTTTTTCCTCTCTCTCGCCCTTCTCTCCCTCTCTACCTCCCATCACCCAACCTCTGCTTCCGAGAAAAAGAGTTGGGGTGATAAAGGGAAACAAGAAGGGGGGAGAAATAAGCAATGGAGATTCCTTAGCCCACCCTTCCTTGAGATCTTATTGGTAGGCATTTCCTGTCTACAGACTCTCTAGACCCAATTATGAATTGATTATTGTAATCTACAGTACCAAGTCTTGGTCATTTCTGTATCACCTATTAATCACTTGTCTCTACTTTGCTCCATTGATAAGACTTCTGCAGTCCATGACATCAATAATCGCAAGGCAAGAGAAACACCAAGAGCTGAGAAAGGTAATTAAATATGAGATACGCTAAAATAGATTATAAAAAATGTTGAATTGGAATTAGTTTCTGGATTGACCTGACCGTGCAAATCTGCGACGCTGCTATCCCTTTTTTTCGCGCAGATCAAGTGGCAAGTGCTGAAAAAGGAGCCGGTTCACATTATACGCATTGTTCCCTGCCACGGGGGGGGGCTTGGATAGACACTTAGGGACGGTGTTTGCAACCTTCCTTGGGGGTACTGGTTTCTAGGGATGGCGGCAAATGTACTCGAATTGTTGGAGGGGGGGGTGACGGTTGAACTTCGGAGGACAACTTCCCTCCACCAAACACTGGGGGTTGATAACTTCCAGTGTTTTGGCTTCAAGGACCCGAGTGGAGTGGTGGGTTGGACACCTGTGGAGTTCAACTGGAAAATGTTTCTCTTTGCGGTCAGATCAAAACCCATCAAGTATGTGCCAGCGTTGCACGTCCGTGTAACATCAACGTGGGTGGAACCTAAATCAAACTTGAGTCAAGTATGCAGGTCTTCGTTCATACGGCTGATTCCCTCGACATGAAGGGCAAGTAGGGAGCACGTTATTAAGACCCTGCAACTCACCACGGGTTGTGTTTGGCTTGTTTGAAGTCCAGCGTAGCCCGTTCTCAAGCAAAGCGTGGCCATGGGGTATACACACGGTGCAATGTGACAAAAGGCGCCAGGACCACAACAGTCAAGCAGCTGAGCATTCGGCACACCCTCCTCAGCCCGACAATCCGAATGGCCACGACCATGCCGCCAGGGGCACCGCTACTTTTGGGGACGTCCCCTCTATTTGACATCAGCTTCATTTGGGTTGGTTGTTAAATGTGTGGCTCTTGGCACCCTCCACAGCGGTCCTTTTGCAAAATATGTATTGCGAGACGCTTGGCATGCCTTCATCTTTATGTGGACATGCCTGTTCTCACCTGCACCGGAACCGGAAATTTGACTTTGCTAAAACGGACAGCACAAAGCAAATCCGGTGGATTGCTTTGGCAAGTGAGTCTCAAACGGCCAACTCTAGCATTCTGGGTGCAGTCAGAATCAGAACCTGGAGTTAAACACTTTTACCCAACCCCTAGTAAAAAAGCATCTGCCCCTTCGGCTTTGACTGCTCGCTTATCTTGACTGGCCAAGATCAAAAGGTCGACCGGTCCAGAGGGATTTTGGGGTTCCCTAAATAGAGATTCTTCTGAAGACATGCTAATTTGCAGGGGGGGGGGGGACGGTGGACGCCCAAAATATGGCAAGTGAAACACGGGGACCCTCTTACTAATTCTTGTTTACCATTCTAGGCGTTTCTTTCCAAAAACTGGCCGTTTTCCCTGGGCTTCCGGAGGTTTTCTAGAAAGAAGAATCCCTGGAAAGAAGGATCCGGAGTGCCCCGTAAAACCATACTTTACCATGTTGTTTTTGACGTTCTGGGGCATCCACCAGACCTTCCGAGTCGCCAAACAAAGGCGGCCATCGCGCAAACCGCTTTGCAGCGCACCGCAGGCCTCGGTCACGTCGTCCTCGTCGTCCAAAAGCCCGGAGGGTAGCTGCGGCCTGGCTCACACCAACGGACGGGCCCCTTTGAAGGGAAACCAAAAAGATACTTCAATATGCTTACCCTTTGATGAACACTAATGCCTCAAACATGGTTTTGTGTATGGACAGACTGCGAAAGATACCACTAGAACATTTGTGTAAACAATCAACCCCGGGTCCAATTCTTGAAAAGAGAAACCACATGGATATTGTTTAGCCAGCAGTGGTTCAACTTGATATGCTTCAATAAGGGTTTGAATCGGCCAACCCCCGGCCTCTGCTCACTCAAGCGCTTGGCCTTTTTTGGGGGTAAGTTTTCTGGGCTGTGCCCGGTGACACTAGAGTGGCACATAGCCGACATGGCATGGTTTGTTGGCAATTCCACAGCCATTTGGTTCCTGCAGATCATCAGGAAAGCGCCGATCGAGATTCCATGACACATGGGGGTCCCTTCTGTTCATCTGAAGAGTCCTTTTCAACAAGGCCCTCGGGAGGTGCTGTACAAGACCGTCTAGTTGCGGACCCTGAGGAATCCGAATGGTTGCAACTACCGCAATCATGCGCTAATTCAGAGTTGCAACAACAATGACCATTAGTGACTGTTGGGAGCCGTTGAAGACCATGAAAGGTCGCGACTTTCCCGTGCTTCTTCGTGTGGCTCTGACTATTTGAATCAAGCCACAGAAACTCCTATTGTTGCTGCTTCATATTTAGTCAGCCCCGAAGTAGAAAGTCATTTTCGGTGTGAGCAAAATACATGTGTGTGCAGTCTTTGTATGTACATGCACATACTACTTGCGTTGGGTAGGCGAATAGGGAAGCTGGGTAACTCTAAGCGCCGGTCAGTCAAGAAAACTGTGCGTGCGAGCCTGACTTCCTCGTCGAAACCTCGGCAATCCACCAAGAGCGCCGGGGGCGCCTCTTCTATTATCGTTTGGGCGGTGGTATCTTTGACCTCAACTCCAAAGAACCCATCTGACACCCCCATGAAAGCCTCCAAATCCCCCCTTTGCTGAACATCAGGTGCTTTGCCGAAATGGGTAGGGGGCCTTTTTAACGGCCAAGAGCTCTTGACCTCCAACATGCGAACCCTTATGGCTGGCTTCCTCTTGATTTCCCTTTCCAACCCCCCCCCCCCCCGCAAAAAAAAAGGTGCCAACAAATACAGACACGCAACAAGGCATCTGCAAGTCCCCAGGTGTTCACCGCCGCTTCCTCATGGCAATCCCCGGTGCAGTGAGTAAAAACTGACCGTTCACATGGGGTTTGTCTCGAACTGAGCTGGTTTTCCACGAAACTCGGCCAAAAGGGGAGATCCTCAAAAAGACACACCCATGTTATACATGGCGCCATCCATCTGAGCAGGCCGCCCAAGTTCAGCGAGATGTCCGGCCTGAGCAAACGCAAAGCGAGCATCACATGCCTCCCACCACGTTATCAGCCTTTACTTGTTTTATGATTTGGAGGATATGAAGTGGCTTGCAACAACAGCAGGGGTTCAAATCCCCAAGTCAGGAGATCTTAATTTAGGTGGAGTCAGCAATCAAATGTGAGTCATAACATGGTATTAACATGGTCGGCCCAGAACCACTGTAAAGAATTAAGAAGGCGGCCGCGCCTTTTTCTGGTTGGGATTGTCCCTTACCAGCCTTCATCTACCCGGGTTTTGGTTGTGGCTCATGTGTCGAGTCTTCTCCATGAAAGAAACAAGTTTTTTTGGGGGGAATCCAGGCCCTCCCTTTTTTGAGGGCGGCATTTCCAGGGGTCCCAACCTTGCCACCTGCCCGCCAGCCAGCAAACCAAAGCACCCGCGCCTCTTCGGCTGAAAGGCGCGGGTCTTGGCCTGCGGATCGAGGGCTGGCCAAGCGCAACCGGAAAGCGGTCGTTTTCTGGGAAACCCGGGCTTCTTGATTGGGTTTAAGAGGAACTCAAAGGAAAGCACGACGATTTTTGTTGGGGGGGTCCACCAAATAGAACCCATACACCCAAGTCGACTTTTTGCGGGTGTCTAGTACCCTGTCCAGGTTGCCATGTCACCTTTCAGCTGAACCAAGACAACGGCAAATGGGTGTGCCATTTTGGGTACCCCCAAAAAAGTGTGGGTTCTCCTCTGAATCCTCCAAAAAGGGGTGCCTCCAAAAAAGACACAACCAATTAACAATTCGGAAAGTTTGAAAGTTCGGTTTGGACTGCGGCGCCCAGATTCGGCTGCGCATGCGCCTCCAACTGTGAGGAAATCGGCATCTCCGCGTCGGCCTAATCGCAGTGGGTTCCCGTTCAAAAGTTGCAACCATCCCAGAGGCTTTGCCATGAGACACATTTCCGACACAAGTCATAGTCACAGAAAAGAGAGTTGTCTTGTTGAGATTGATGACACTTGCCATCTATAGGGGGGTCAGAAGGGGCTCACACTTAAAGGGCAATGCAACATGTCCCCAACAGACCCCGAGAAGTCAGTTCCTTTCTGGGTCGCAAGGGAAAAACGGTTGAAGCCCAAGCAACCTTCACATATCTTGACTCTCAGATCAGGCGGCCTGCCAGTAGGTTTGGTAGGCATCCTGCGGCCGGCGATCAGGGGTTTGGACGCGGACACATGGGTTACTCCCAACTCATCATTCAGTAGGGACCAATTTTTCAGTGCATATATCCTTCCTCCTAGGACGCGCAGCAATCAGGGGTCAACATTCATCTCCTTCAGACTCAGAGGAAGCTTTCCTTCTGGGGGACCCAGAAGGGGTTCCCTAAGGACAAAGAAGAATTGACCACCATGAAACAACTCACGCTCATGCTAAATTGCAGGGGAGTGGATGATGTCCCAAAGTTAAATTTGGACATCTCACAATAGTCGAGATTGGATTTGGGCCCCTCAAAATTGCTGGCGTCCTTTGAGTTTCCCTTTTCCATCCAAGTTCAGTAGGGAATGAGGGAACGACCCCTACGAACCAACCCTTGGAGTTTCCTTTTGATTGCCTAGCCTTCCAAAAATAAGCATGGAACCCCCTGGAACACCATGTTGCTTTGTGGCGACATGTTCAAGCCCCGAGTCATCCACTGAGAAGCAGCCAATTTTCGGAACAAGAATAACACACGGACCTGCGGATACTTCCAGGCCACGTTCTCCTCGTATGCTCCTAGGCTACGCACGGCGCCCCTCACTAGACATGTACTGATCACAGAAACCTACAGGAAGCTCCAAACAGAGTTCCCACCACGTACTCACATCAAGCAACTTGGCCAGTTTCCTGTGGCACTGAAAATGCTTTGCGGACATCCTCAACTGCATATCCCGGTGCTTCCAGCTACCAGGTGTTTGCCGCGCATATGGCTGGCATGGCTTTGATCCTGGCTCTGGGCGCAGTGCCATTTGGCCAGGAAGCAACATCCCTGGCAGAGGGCGCCATCTCTTTTTTTGCCTCACTTCCCAAGTGGATTGGCCAAGACATGGTTCCAAATTGTTGTTTTAACACTAACACATGTAGGTGTCGCAATAGAGGGACCCCGCCAAAGTATCCCAAAATGACAAGCCCAGAAAGGGTACGCTCAAACAACACAAACCTACAGTAGAATAGGCAACGAGGAGAATCCAAAGTGCACAAGCTAGGTGAAAATCATAGATTGCCTTGCAGTGGTTCTTGGTCAAACCAATCAATGCTCGTGAATCCGTCGAGGTCGCAAAACGCCTTGTGAAGGCAGTCATGATCGAAACCTAAGGCTTTGCAGCACGTAGGACTGTGGCACTGCCCCGATCTTCACTCTGTGGGCCAACCGGATTGAGCAGGTCTAAACCTAAACCTCCTTTGGTTTCTCTCTAAACTGGCCCAGGGATTTCCTAGCCAAGCAGCCTAGTGATTGCATTTCCATGTAAGTGGTAGCTACGTAGGATTGACTGAGTTAAATTCGCCTTGCAGACTTCCACCTATATCCGGTATTTTGGAAAGAATTAAGCTCCCCGGCTGTCATTCTATTGTGGCTCGACATGTCGAAGCGCAGCCGGCCGGACCCTCGCGCATCGTAAGCCCAGCCGTACGCCGAATCCCACATCCTTGGCCGACGAGCGGCGGGGGTGGGCTACCATACACCCAAAATAAGCCCATGACCATGGAACAATAATGTTATATAGTTGTATTCCCTCAAAATTGTCATGTAATTGATAAACCACCTCGTCCCAAGAAAAAAAAGAGACCCCCCCGTCATATCCTCACTAGGGATATAGTGCAAACTTTTCAACACATCATGGCATGGGTTTTCCTTCGTCTGCATCACCCCCTTTAGTGAGTTCGATTGCAAACCAAAATGCGCTCCGCTTCACTTGCCCATGGTAAGAAAATCGAGTCAAGTCGCAGCTCCGCGAAGGCGGCGGAAGCCTTCTATTGAAAATGGTCGGCCTCTGTTCCATACAACACCACTTCTGTGATACAACAAAAAGGGCTTCCCAAAGACTAAACCCCCACATAAAGGGGGAGATTCCTTCATCCCACAACCCTGGTTCCATATATTTGATGTTACCCTCAAAACGATTTTTAGGAGACGCCAGCTTCCCCCATGCTTCGGATTTTTTCCCCAGGGATGGATGGCATAATCTGAGGGCTGGACCAGCCCTGCGGGTTCTGCCAGTCGGCCAGCATCGGAAACTGGGCCTGCAGTCCAGTTTCCACAAGAGTTGGTTGGATTAGTTGGCTCAGGCTGTCTTGTGGACATATGCATCTCATGGAAGCAATATGCTTGGTCCAGACTTGGATCATGCGAACCCTGTTTGAACCACAGCCATGAAACTGATCCGATTCCCCACTTTCCAACATACATCACCCCGCCAAAAGCAAACGCACCTTAAGTTGCCAAAAAGGAGATGGCAGCAATCATGGAAGCTGACATGACGAGGGCTTTGCAAGACTCGACCCGCCAACTTGATGTGAGGAGTATTGGCAAATAGTTGCAAGGAGACAAGTCGCCTGCCCCCCCCCAAACAAAAAGAAGAAGCAATAATACAAATAATGATACATATGGAAAACAAACCAATCATAAAAATAGTAATAGTAATAGCAATACTAATAATAGTACTAATACAAATATTACTAGTAATAATAACAGCATGTTACTTTTCTCCTGGCTTCCCTTCAAAGCCACAAAACTGGGTTCTCCCATTAAAAAAACACCCCGACATGATTCCACACACACTCTCTCTCTCTCTCTCTCTCATCTTTCGCAATGGAAGTCGGCACACAAGGACCGGGCGCTATGGCTCTCGGGCAGCTCTGTGGGGCTGGTTTGCGTAGCTTCGGCGTGGCTTGGCTTGCGGTGTGGGCGGCTTGGCTTGGCTCTGCTTGGAGCGTTTTCGTGAAGGCGTGCGCGGCTGAGCCCAAAAGCGAAGGCGTTTTGTGCTGTGTAACCCTTTCAAGCGACATCCTCAGGTGGTTTGAGGGGGACACCACCCCAAGTAACTTGAGCCCTCAAAAAGCTTCCCTTTTCGTCTGGAACAATAACACTGTTTGTAAACGGTCAGCAGCTCTCGGAACAGAACAAGCTCTAGACTGAATCATGTCTAGCCTCATCCTCACAGCTCGCCAACAACTCCAAGGGCTACGGCAGACGGTTTTCCGCTCGCTCAGATCGAGCGCTCGCCGATGAAGATCTGAAAGTCTTCGCCCTGGTAGCTGACCTCCAGCACCTTTGTCCAGGGCGGTCTGGTAATTGAGGCTACCCTTTTGAGGCTGGGTTTTAAAGGGACTCCACAAAATCACACCTCATCACACAAAATGGACGGTTGACCAAGACGGGCTTCGGACTAGCCCAATAGGTCCGTTTCTGCCTCAACTAAGAGATGAGATGTGTTGATGAGATGTGTTCAGTGCCTTTCTCTTCTGCTCAGAGACTGACACAATTGTCATCCGAGAGGTCTCCCGACCGACCAAAACGGATCTTGGGAGCGGAACTCATGGTCACTTATGGTCACTTTCTGCGATAGAGTGTGCCATCCTCATGACCTTATCAGGAAGGCTGGGTATCGCAGAAGCTGGCCCTAAGTTTCCACATGGCGGCGCCTTAAAGGCAATTCGATCCCTCGATACTCCGGCCTCCAACTGGAAGCCCGCCTCTGAGCCTCGAAAGCGTTTTCGATCGAAGCCCATCCGAGCCAGCACGAAAACCAGCCATCCACGAGACGATCTGAATGAACTCTCTGAACTAATCCAATTGGAACGGCCGTGGCAGGTTGGCACTCTTTGCAGCCAAGAAACACTTCGAGCACTGTAATAGGGATCTAAAACCGGGCCTTTTGATAGCGCAACCCAGGCCAAGGGGCCCTGCCGCATGCTCCAGAACCGTCCAACTTCCCAAGGCTTCCCCAAGCGGATGTCGGAAATCAGGAGAGTCCCCAGGTCTGCGGGGAGACTTCTGGTGAGCGGATGTACCAATGGCTCTCTCACACTGAGCCACTCCCAGGCCCGCACAGAGCTGCTGGAAGCTGTCCAGTCCTTCACGCCCCTGGCATGGCCGACAGTTCCCTTGAACTCACCGTGAGGCCGCGCCGAGAGCATTGCGACCACACGTCAACTTTACCCCGTGAGGCTACCCCGGAAAAAGCTCATCGGACGGGGCAAGAGGTAGTTTTTGCTTCGGGCGGCTCGGCGTTCTTCAGGGTCCACAGCCCGGATGACTGGGTTCATTTTAGCAGGATGATGATACTACTCTCTACATGGTGGTCTCAGGGAAGCAACCCCAAAAGGCAAAATAGAAACGAGAGAAGCCTCAAGCTGTTCGCCGCAATGGACCCAGGAGGAAGGACCCAAACGCAATCTTGAGAACCCTTCCAAATCTTCACACCCAGGGACTGACACAAGGGGTCTCCCACCGGATGTGTTCTTGAAGGGCGTGTCCCAGACCGAACTGTTGTTCTTTTGCTGAAGCCTTCTGTGGTTGACGAGTTTCGGGTGGTCCTTTTTCTATGTGAAAACATGGTCATCTACAACAACATCACGACCTATCCCCCTGGTAGGGTGGCATTTTCCGAATCCTTTCAAATGATAGCCTACAAGAAGCTCCAACTACTAGGTATCCATGGGATCAAACCCAAATCATAAAGAAAAGCAAAGCCAACCCAAAGCAAACAATGCAAGACAACTGCTGTTCGATGCGGTTTTGTGGTTGACAAGCTTGCTGCGAGCTGCCATCATCCCGCCTTCTGCGCGCTGATGACCATGCGGCCGCCAGGTCTGGCAGCGCAAAAGCCGCCCGGCGCGCGCGAAGCAAAAGGAAAGACATCCTTGGGCTTCATGATGGCGATTGTCCCCTGCCAAACAGTCTCTTAACCGTTTGCAGGTGACTTGGATTGTGTTTTCCCTTGACTTCCCTTTAGACCAATCTTTTAATAAGAGGGTACCTAAAAAAAAGAAGGAAACAAAAAACACACACACACACACACGCACACGCCCATACTACTGAGCCCATCATGGGCATGCGATCAAAATGAGTACCGTCACCATTAGTACGAATCATTCCCAAAAAAACTTTAGTCTGAAGATCCAACCTCGCAGCCAAGTTTCGTCCAGGGACGGATTGGGAGTTGATCATACAAGCGTTTTCAGAGGGACCTGGAAAGACCCATGTTTGGATTGGAGTATGCGAAAAAAAAAAACAAAAACAAAAAAAAAAAAACAAAAAAAAACACACACACACAGGATCTTACTTTTGCTCAAAACAACGCGTGAATGCGTTTTCCGCAAATTGTAGCAACGCTTTTCCGCGCTTATCGAACACGGTGTCCGCAATTAGCGTTTGCATCCACAATTATTCCGTCTTGAAAAGCCCAATCTGCCTTTCCTTCAATACTTCTGCTTCCTCCATTGTTATTCTCATTCGGTCGTGCAATATGCTACACAATTAAGAATTGTTCAAATTGACCCATTAAAAAATGTATTGGATTAAATACATGAAGTGTTAACCATTTCTTATGACAAAACAATCAATAATTCAAAGAGAAACAAACTGCACGCAGCATTGAAGTTGTGTTATTTCGGATAGTTCCCCCG